GCAGTGCCGATCAGGTACCTGCAGCCATCCCCCCCTGGGCTGGGCCTGCTGTCACTGCTCAGTCTGGCACCACTGTCGGAGCTCTCCATGGCACATCCCTCTCTTCCCTGCCCTTTGTTCTCCTGCAGAGGGTGCGGAAATCCGTTCCTGTTCGCCGCAGAAAGGCCAGGGCCTCACCAACTGAGGTGTTGGCACAGCCTGAGCCCAACCCAACCAAGCTCAAGGCCAAGGCTGACGCCCCAGGGACTCAGGGCATCGCAGACGCTGACAGCACACCCATTCAGCGCCTGCCAGATGCTCCCAATCTGGACTTTTCTGGGGACAGAATTATCTCTGCTCAAGTAAGCATCCTGTGGGCAGGCTTTGTATGGGCCCTCAAGCTTGATCTGCTGGCCCCCCTCAGCGTTTGAGGTCAGCAGAGTGAGGTGGGGAGGGAAGCACTTCTGGGAGGAAGCTGGGGAATTGCTCTCTCTGGCAGCTCTCCAGCTCTCCCTTGTGTCCCCTCCAGGTGCCAGCTGTGGTGAGGTCCATCCACCAGTGGCTGACTTCCACTATGTCTGCTGGGCACGTGCTGGATAAGACCCTTCTAGCACTGACCGAGGCACACCCCGTGGATGTCGCCATCACCCTCCTGCGCTGTGCCCCCTCGTGTGACAGGTATGGGCCCCAACCTTGAGGGCTCAGGGCTCACCAGCCTTTAGAGCCCATCACCCCCCCAGCCCCTGAAAGCACTGTGGCTCTGTCACCTGGCCCCTGCAGCTGCCCAGGTCAGGGCACTGTGGTCAAGACCCCTCCCGATGCAGAGCTCTGACTCCACAGAGCTGCTGCAACCATGTGGAGGACCATCGCCTCATCGGGAAGGACACTGCAGAAGGTGCTGCCAACCCTGCTCGGCGTGATGGAGGACTGGCCGTGGTACTACACGCGCACCTCCGATGGGGACAACACAGCCATCTTTGCCTTGGCTGTGAGTTTCTGGAACCTTTGCTTGCACCCCAGGTTGCCTCTCTGGCAGGTCTCCATCCTTCCCCAGCACAGCATATCCCTGCCCATCTCCCTGCAGGCACTGGGATGGAAATGTGGGCTAGGAGCAGGTTCAGGGGCACCAGGCTGGGCACTCCCCCTGAGTCTCCCCTGGCCTTCCCCTCCCACGCTCGGGCCCTGCCACATGGATGTCTTGGCACTGACTGCTGTGTCCGGCTGGTTTGTCTTTTGCAGGCAACTCTGGCACTGTGGATGATTGTCCAGGAGCCCCAGTGCCCGGGGCCTTTGATGGACTATTCCCCCCATCTCCTCGTGGCTCTGCTGTTCCAAATCTTCATCAGCACAGAGCAGATGTCAGAGGAGGTCGACAACTTCTGGAGGGGATGCCAGGAGCAACACGACCTTCCCACCAACCCCAACAGGTGCTCCATCCCAGTCCTCCCCTCCCTCCCATGCCCTCGGGGCTGGGGCCAGGGCTCCCAACATGACCTGGGCTTTGCTCTGCACACAGGTTTGCAGTGCTGACCATGAAGGCCCTGCTCCGCTGTCTGCACTGTGAGGATGTCGTGAATTCGGTGGAAAACAATCGTGGCTGGGTGAGGCTCCTCAATGCTCGCAGCCGCCGCTACGCAGCGGCTCTGCTGGCCAGGTGAGACCCCCTTGTCCCCGCTGCCCCTGTCATTTCTGTCTGTGCACGGGGCACCCCTCACATGTGGGCCTTGTCACTGAGGGATGGCCGAGCAGAGTGGAAAAGGCTGGGAGAGGCGGGTGCACAGGAGGAGCCGCCTCCCAGAGTGCCCTCATCCCCTCCCAGGCTGGTGGGGAAAGACCAGGCCTCTGTGAGTCCACCCCGGGAGAGGTTTGCCCACCTGGCTCAGGTCGATGATACCTTTTTCCCCCTGCCAGGGAGATGCGCCGTGTCTCCAGCCCCTTGTGTTCTCGGATCACACTCCACCTGCTGGAGCTGCTGCGCAGGGAGGAGCCGTGCTGGGACCTCCCTGCCATGGCATTCCTTGTGGAGGTGAGCCTGATGGGGGGGAGCGCTGCCTCACCGAGCTGCCTCCACCTCTCTGGCCTCTCGCAGCCGCAGCTGCCCGGGATGGTGCCGCGCCCTGTGCTGCTGCCTGGGCCCAGTCCTGTGTGGGTCCGGGCTCCTGCCAGCCGGGCACCCCGTCACTGCTCCATGCCTTTCAGGTCCTGGACTGCCTGGACACGAGAGAATGTGGTGACAGGGTCCTGGAGATCCTTTCAAGGAACTTGGGGAGCACGAACAAAAAGTGGCGTCAACTGGCGCTCAGAGTCCTCGTAGCACTCAGCCAGGATCCCGAGATGGTGAGAAGGGGCAGTTGGCTGAAGCCGTGCTGGAATCCTGGGGCTGGGGAGCGCAGTCGCTTGGGCTTGGCTGGGCTTCAGGAGCTGTGGCAGCTGCTCTCAGCTCTGCTGCCTCCCCGTTCAGCTGCCCAAGTCCTTTGGGATAGGCCTTTGGCCTCTGGGCCCTGCGGCAGCATGTGGGGCTGCCCTGCTGGAGCAGGGTTGGTGATGCAGCCATTCATGGCTTCACAGCACAGCATTGTGTTCCTCACAGGCCAAGAGCATCTGGAGCCTGAATGAAAGGCTCGTGCAGCTACTGGGGGATGCAGACAGAGATGTGGTTTGGATGACCCTCTCTGTGCTCGACAACGTGCTCTGGAGCAGTCTGTGGACACAGCGCCACAAGAGAGTCCGCAGCAAAGACCCCCTAATACCCACCCCCACCGGCCTGCAGTTGGCTGAGGCGCTCCGGCCACTGTTTGACCACGTAAGGCTCTGTGCCCCCCTCCCTGGGCTCTGGGTACTACTGGGAAACTGGTCCCTGTGGATTTTGAGGCCTGTGTCCAGTGGGGCCTGGAGAAGCTGGTGCTGAGGTCTTTTCCTCTTTCTTTCCACCAGGATGACAGCAGTGTGCGGGAGGGCTCCATTGTCATCTTCACTCTTTTGATGAAACTGATGGAGAGAGTGGGAAAGAGGCCCCTGAAGCCACACGTGTGCCTGAGCCTGCTCCCGCTCTACTTCCACCGGTATGATGAGAACCTGGTTGTGAAAAAGGTGAGGACTCGTGAGCTCTGGTGTCCCCGTGGGAGGGGGCTGGGCTGCCTCCTGACCTGGCACCTCCCGGGCTCCAGCCTTCTCCTGGCCTTGGTCCAGGGACATGGGTCCTGTGCCCTGGGCTGCGGTGCCATCTCCTGGTCTCTGTTGCTTTGCAGGCCTCTCAGAAAGCACTGCTGGCTGTGACCAGGTTCCTAAAGAGGAGGGATCTTGGGCGCCTGGTGAACACAGAGGAGCCATGGAAGTTTGCCGAGTGCCTGGTAAGGACGGCCCCAAGCCCCAGTCCCCGATTCTGGGCGTGTGGGGCTGGCATTGTGCCCCTGCCCACTGCTGCAACCCCTGTGGGACAGCAGCCTGAGCCCCACACGCTGCTGCCTTCCCTGGGGCATATGGGCTCCTCTGCAGGCTGCTCTGCCCCCGAGCCAGGGTGTTGTTGGAGCCTCGGCCCAGCTGGGCTGTGGGGTAGGGCAGCCCCATGGCTCCTGGGGAGCAGCCAGCCCTCTGCTCCCTCCAAAGCCCAGCCCCAGCGGCTGCTGGCTGGGCCTCAGGGCTGTGTGGGCAGGGGAGGCCAGTGCTGGGCACAGGCAGTGCCCGGCCAACGGGCAGAGCCCTAGCCTACCCTTCCCAACGTGTCCTGCCACTCTCTCCAGCTGAAGAGGGACCGGAGCCGAGTGGCCAAGTACATGCACCAGGCCCTGCCGTACCTGCGGAGCCCACAGCAGCCCCTGCGAGAGGCAGCCATCAAGTTCATGGGTGAGCCACAAGCCCACAGTCCCCCCCGCTGCAGCTCAGCCTCAGCCCTGGCAGCTGCAGCGGCAGCAGGATGCGGCCCAGGGATGTGCTGTGGAGCCCGGAGTGCCCTGGTGGCTGCTGCCGCCCTCTGCCAGCCCCGCCTTGGGGTGTCCTGAGGCGGGAAGGCCCCGGGCTCAGCCCTGCTGGGGCAGGAGGGCGTGTGGCTGGGCTGGCAGCACAGCTGGGGGAAGCTGTGCCGCTGGGGCCCTGACACCATCTGTGTTCCCAGGGATTGCTGGGGGGTACCTGAGGGGACAGCACAAAGAGCTGCAGCTCATCATTGACGGTGAGTGAGGGCAGTGGGGGCTGGCAGAGGAGCACAGACTCTGTGCAGGGAGCTGCAATCCTCCCCTGGCTGTGGAGGGCTCTGCTGGCTGCATGGACGAGGGGCAGCGTGGGCAGAGCAGAGACAGATTTCAGGGGCGTGGGGGGTATAAATGGCCAACGCCTTCTGGCTGATCCCGCTGGGCCCTGCTCCCTCCTGGCAACAGCAAGAGCTCGGTGGGATGGCCCTGGCAGGAGGGGCTCCTCAGATCCCCACCAATGTGGGCTCTGACCTTGGCTCTGTTCCTCTCTGTTCCAGCCCTTCAAGCCATGAGAGATGACAGGAGCCCTGCTGTCTCAAACCTGGCACTTGAAAACATCAACTTTGTTAGAGCTGTACAGAGAGCTAAAGCTCCCCCCTCCAGGTTCCAGCAGCTCCAAGACCGGCTCTGCAGGGCATGGAACAGCCTGCCTTCTCTCTGGGGCTGTGTCTGCTGTAGCTGTGTGGAGAGTTGATGCAGGCAGCTCTGTCTGTTGGGGCCACCTGAGCCTGTGGGGAAGATGCTTCTTCTCCACAAGCCTTTCTTTTTACACTAGCATAGGAATATTAAATAAATAATGTTATACACAGAAGCCCAGGAGCTTTTTTAGGTGCCTGGTGTCCACAGGGCATCTGGAAAGAGGGGGAAAGGGCTCCTTGTGCTCAGCAACACTTGCCCAGGTGTGCATTGGGGAAGAGAAAGTGCCTCAAAGCCCCTTGGCCTTGGGGGGTTCTGCTGGAACCTCAACACTTCCAGCAGAGTGGATGGGCAGAGCCTGGAGCTGTGGGGATCATTGGGAACCTGGTCCTTGGAGGTGGCCACAAGCTCTGTCCCACCCAGGAAGCAGCATCTGTGGCCTGCCCATGTGTTGCTATCTGGATTGCTGAGGGCTGGGAGATGCCTCAGGAGGTGGCTCCTGTGGAGCTCCTTCAGGGCTGTGCTGATGCTGGGCAGGTGGGCGGGGCTGGGGGAGACCCTTAGAGGAAAGGGCTGTTGTTCCCTTTTTTCAGCCGTGCACTGTAATTGCCAGTCCGACTCCAAAAACTGAACATGGACAAAGATTCCTCCCAGACCAAAGGTGCCAGGACAGAAAGCTCTTGCTGCCCATGGAGTGCCCAGGCTGGCCCACCAACTGCACCTGAAACCCAAAGCTTACAGGCTTTCTTTCCTGGGGGAAAGGGCTGTTGTTGGCTTTTCAGAGCCCTGCGCTGGAATTCCCAGTCTAACCCAAAATCGAACATGGACGAAGATTCCTCCCAGACAAAAGGTGCCAGGACAGAAAGCTCTTGCTGCCCATGGAGTACCAAGAGTTGCCCACCAACTGCATGAGAGATGTTGGGTAAGGGCTTTCTTTCCGGTGTGGAACTGCCGCCATTCAGTTTTTGGATCCCTGCGTTGAAATTGGCACTGCGACTCCACAAAAACACAGCCACAGACCTTCCTCACAGGCCACCAGAGAGAGCTGGGAGGGTGGCTGTGCTGTTCCTGCTCACCCTGCCTGGGCGACCAGCTGCCCAAACTGCCCTGCCATGCCCTGCCATGCCCTCCCTAACAAGCCGCCCTCCCTAACAAGCTACCCTCCTGTTTGCCTGCTCCTGTTGGCCACAGTTGAGGTCGCTTGCACTCCCTGGACCAGTTTATATGACCCAGAAACAACTGAGACTCCCTTCCCTGATGAGCTGATTACGCCTTGCAAGGCAGCTGGGCTCAGCTGGGAGCACTTTCTCGCAGTAGTTTAAATCTCCCACAAATGCCCTCAGCTCCATCTAATGATCAGATGATTAGAGCTTGCAGAGCAGCTGGGCTGAGCTGGGCTGAGCGGGGAGGAGCTTCTCTATGGAGTATAAATCTCGGACAAAGAACCTCAGCTCCTCTCTTGGTCACCTCAGAAGGCCTTCAAGGGCAGCTGAGCTGAGCTGGTGTGCTCAGATGCTAGGACATAGAGCGCTTACTGCCCATGGAGTGCCCAGGCTAGCCTACTCACTGCACTAGAAACCACAAAGGTAAGGGTTTTCTTTCCAGGGGAAAAAGACTGATGTTTGCTTGCAGGATTCATAGAGCTGAAATAGGCAGTCCAGCTCCAAAAATTGAATATGGATGAGGATACCTCCCAGATAAAAGGTATGAGGACAGAAAGCCCTTGCTGCCCATGGAATGCCAAGGCTGACTCACCAACTGAACCACAAACGACAACGGTAAGTGCTTTCTTACTTGTGATAAAGCAGTGTTGTTGAATTTCAGGAATCCTGTGCTGAAATGGCCGATCTGACGCCCAAAATTGCATACGGACGAAGATTCCTCCTAGACAAAAGGTGCCAGGACACAAAGCTCTTGCTGCCCATGTAGTGCCAAGGCTGGCCCACCAACTGCACCAGAGAGTCAAAAGTTGCAGGCTTTCTTTGCTGAGGATAGGGGCTGTTGTTTGCTTTTTTCAGCCCTGCGCTGAACTGCCAGTCCCACTCCCAAAATTGCATATGGACGAAGATTCCTCCCAGACCAAAGGTGCCTGCCTAGAAAGCTCTTTCTGTCCACGCAGTGCCGAGCGTGGTGCACCAAATGCACACGAGAGATGGAGGGTCAGGGCTTTCTTTCCTGGGTGGAAGGGCAATCATTAGGGTTAGGGGTTTGAATTAGGGTTAAGTTTAGGGTGAAGCTTAGAGTTCTCTGAATAGGGTCAGAGTTAGAGTTAGGGATAGTGTTAGGTTTAGAGTTACAGTTTGTTTTAGGGTTACTTAGGGTAACAGAGTTAGGGTTAAGATTAGGATTAGGGTTACAATTAGGGTTTATTGTTAAGGTAAGGTTAAGGGTTAGTTATGGTTTAGGGTTTCGGTAATGGTTACGTTTACGTTTAGGGTTAGAGATATGGTTTGGGACTGGGTTAGGGTTAGGCTGTCTGATTGCCAGAATTCCATATGGACGAAGATTCCTCCCAGACCAAAGGTGCTAGGACAGAAAGCTGTTGCTGCCCATGGAGTGTCCAGGCTGGCCCACCAATTCCACCTGAAAGCCAAAGATTGCAGGCTTTCTTTCCTGGGGATAAGGGTTGTTGTTTGCTTTTTTCAGCCCTGCACTGAAAACAAACTTCCTGACCCTTTTCTGTCGAAACCAATCTTTATTTTAAACTTCCCCAAGTCTACCTTAAGCGCTAGGCTCTCCTAGGTCAGCGCCCATGCTAAAGCACCGCTGGTAATTTTTGTCATGAAGCGGGAATAGAAAGCATGAGGCGGCCTTGACCTT